AGGTAAAGTAATTGCTTTTTGATCCCTATTGTCTTCTGTTTGCTCTGCTGTTTAAAATTTGTAGGGTGGTGAACTTCCGGTTTGAAGGGCTTCAGTGACAGACAGAAATCTGCGATCGTGCATGGTTTCTGTCTGGGCTTGCCGCTGGAGCGCCCTGAGCCAGCTGGTTTCAGGGCTAAGCCACCCCGTACAGGTGGTGAAGAGGGGGGAGACCAGCAGCAGGGTCGAGGAGAGCTGCATCTCTCCTCCACAGCTGGCCATTACTCCCTTTCCCAAAGGCGGTTGCAGCGGTGGTCAGAAATGGCCACCACAAAGAAGAACTCGACTGGAAAAGAATGTGCAGGAGGAAGATAAGACATGAAAGTTTTGGCTGACCGGGTTAAATTGTAAAAGCAACAACCAAGGTACCTTGGAATTTAAACTTACAAAAAATAACATCGCTCCCAAAGAAGAGTCGGAAGCAGTGAAGAAAAGTTAAAAGGGAAAGGTTTGGCTTTTTTTCCCTTCTCTCTCCTTCCCTATACTGACAACTAAGAGACTTAAATAAGAAATCGGAAAAATCCACTTTGACATCAATAGGCAATTAAGCTGAAAATAAAACAAACTGCCAAAGGGATAATAAAGATTTCTGGACATTAAAAACTTTCTTTTTCATAAGCAGGCGGGAAGAGAAAAAGAATAAGGGCAGGATCTGGAAGAGGGAGGAGACTGCCTGGAATTAAAAAGAATTCAAAGTAAAACTTCAACGAGACTTCTAAAAGATACATTTTAACTGAAACTTTGCAACTAAATAGTAACCCCAGGAAGAGAAAGGGGGGGAAAAAAGAGCAAAAAAGAAACAGCTTGCGTGTATTTGGATTATTTGGTGATCTTTGGATTTTTGGTTATTATATCTGAATGACTAAAATCAATCAGGTGGTTGTTAAAAAAATTTATACAATGGCACCACTTCTGGATTAATTGAAAATGGAACTTAAAAAGTACAAAGAAGATGCACAAGAAGGGAAGGGTTCTTTTGGCTTAATTTTTCAATTCTTAGAAATGGAGATTTGGAACTATGAGAAACAACAAGAAAAGACTGCAAAACAAGAAGACTGGGACAAAGAAGAAGCCATCTTTAATGAACAAGTAATTCTATGTGGGGAAGGAAAAGGAAAGGGGGGGGGAAGAGAATGGAGAATTTAAGACTTAAAAAACAACCAAAGAAAAGAAAAATAATTTGAAAAATAAGTATAATACTGGAAAGCAACAGAAAAGGGGAATACAGAAGAGAGAAATAGAGGTAGAGAGACAAGGGAGTAAAAATGGGAGAGAGAAGAAGAGAGGGAAGAAAAGGAAAAGAAGTTACAAAGGACCAGGGCAAAATACAGAGAAACAGGACCTCTTTAGAGATAATGGGTGAAAATCTAACTGAAAAAGGGATTCTGTAAAGGTACATAAGATTGTATTGTTATATTAGTAATAGAAATAACTTTAGAAAATTGGAAATAAAGTATGATTAAAATGAGGGATAAAATAGTTAGTGTAATTTAGTGAAATGTTTGTGAATAAAATAAGTGAAATAAAATAAATGAGAAAATTGAATTAGGAAAGAACGGGAACATTTTAATTAGTTAATGTTTTATAAAATATAAGTGAAGGGGGAGGGGAATTAACTATGGAAAGCTTATAATTGTTCCCATAGAAGTATGATATTTAATTGAAAAGTAATGTTAAAGATGTTTAGACTTTAATGAATATTAATATTAATGATAGAATTGAATTGGAATGGAATGTTATTTTAATTATATATATTTATATTTTTTTCTTTTTTAAAGAATACAGTGTGTATTTTAAGAATGTACCAAGCAGAATCTGAATGGAAGTTATGTATTATATTGAATGTTACAACTTTATGGAAAAGATATAAAGGCGTCATACTCCAATCAGTAACTACAGGAGAAATTTTGTTTAATGAGAAAAGATAATAGATAATTGAAACAGGACAGACAAAAAATATAAATACAATGATTTGAGATGAGATAATTAAAATAAAATTGAGAAAATTAAAAGAGGGGAGAAGCTATGTAGAAAATGTAAAATAGTAATAAGATATGGAATAGAATATAAAAATGAGCATGAACCTGAATTTGTTTCTGTATGAAGAAATGTATCCGGGGATTATGCTGCTTTCAAAAAAGATGTTTTATTTGTATTTTTTTTCTCTTTGTGAAAACTCAAATAAAATTTACACACACAAAAACAAATGTAGGGTGGTTTGTTTAGGCTGTAAGTAGGATGTGTGGTTTAAATGCCTCTCCCCTTAGTTAAATGACCACTGGACACCTGTTTCTCACATTTTCCCACACAAGTGATGATTTGCCTTGATTGCCACTCTCTTCCTTGATGTAGGGCTAAAGTTGCCCATAACTTTCCTGCCAACCGCTTCTATGGCAAACTTTGTACAGGAGATCTGTGCTTTAGCCATGTTGCCATTTGATTGGTTTTCAAAAAGCTTTACAAAGGTGTCTTTTAAAGAGTCCACTTGGTGTTAACTGTGGACAAAATCAGAAAGGACACATCTGCGCTGTCAGCAGGCTGTGTCTGGTTAAAATATCAGTTATATTTTCTTTCTTTAACAGGTTTGTATTCACACTATCCTGTGTGAGCTATGCAGCTGCTGAGCAGATTCCAGTAGTGTGTTCAGATTAGGGGGAAGCATCCACCTCCATGGGAGAGGAGAGATCTATGAACTTGTTGGCTATTGATCTCAGTTTGGAAGTCCTACTCTAAAGAATGCTATCTGGTGGAGAGATTGGAGGGCACTAGATAACTTACAGGGATGCCTGCTTGTTTTGTGAACTAGGTTGTAGCTTGTGTTGCAAAATGCTTACAATATCTCTCGCGCCCCAATGATGTCTAGGACATTTTCTTCTCTTTCTACACATTGAAGATTCCGAAAGGGAAGCACACAGAAAGCATGAACAAGTATGATAAATGTAAAATAAAATAGGCTTGACGGACACATAATAACTAACATATATGTAGAAAACTATTTAAAAATGAGATTTCTATTCTATTTGAGCACTCAGAGGTGTTCTAAAATTATATCTAGGCTAAATATAATTCTAGGGATCAGAATATTTTTTTTTATTGGACTTAAATGATTGTTGAAAAAGTCTCCTATTATATATTAAAGACACTAATGATTTCCTAATTGAAAGATGTACTTCAAATAAACACCAAAATAACTATTACACATAAGTGAATATCACATTTCTTTAGGTCAGGAACCTGCGACCTTTCCTGAGCTGAAGTTGTGTTCCAAAACCATCTTAGTAGTGTACTCCTAATACTGCAGAAGGACAGAATAAAGAAATCAGAGAGCCAGGAGGAAAATGAAACTTAACTGAATTTCAATGTCATTAAAATTAAATTAGTTAAATACAGTTTATGTAATTACTCCCTCTGTATTTAATAACTTTGCCTTCCTGTCATATGAAAAATTACACTTTCAAATCAATATTTCAGTGGTCTCCGAGGTCTACAATTTTGCAGCAATACTTTAATGGGCTCTTAACTCAATAAGTAAAATATGGGGTTGTGGCGAAGGGACAGGTAACCTTGGGACCACACATCACAGATCCCAGTTTTACAGCAACATATTGCAATGCACAGTTCTGGGATTCAGGATGTAAATGAATTCTACCATGCCAACATTGTAAAGTTCCTTCTGTGAGCTTATTATCAATTTAGCAATGCTAGTTACTATGGATAGCTAGGGATGCAAAGAGTCTTAACACCACAAGCTCTCCACCTGGAGGAACATATCTGACATCACTTTCTCTACAACAAATAGCATACTGTGGAATTTTCTGTTCTAGATGATTCTATAACTGCCACCTTGGTTGCTGCATCCGGTTTCCAAGTAACTGGAAGATTGTCGAAGCTGATATAGTTTTGCTTTGTAATATCTATTTTTATTTTGCTGTCCTCTCTCCAAAATACATGTTGTTTTAGTCAGGGTCAAGTGGATGTTTTCAGCCTGGTGGCTAAACTTGTCTCCTTGCAGATACAGTGAGATCCTGGGCAGTCTGCTAGAAATATGATAGCATTGTTGGCCTACTTTTTTGAAGCAGGTTTGGGGAACTTGCAAGGAGGGATTAAGTATGGGAATGAGATTCTTTGAGGGCAGTGAAGCCTTTCCTTTCCAGTTCATCCTTTACTTTAGCATTTTTCGAGCCGAAAAAAATCATACTATCAACTCAGCCACTGAAACTTGGCAGCATGAACTTGGGGCAGGGATACAAGTAGGTCCCAAAGAGACCATCTGCTGTCATATTCTACTGGTTTATCCATTTACATAATGAAACTAGGTCCACCTTTATGGGATACAGATCAAATTTCCAAAGTTATTGTTTTGATGCTACAAACATTTTCTCTCATGGGCATGCTTAGACAGGCAGCGTGTGAGTGAGTGTGTTTTACGTCACCATGTATAAATAGATTCTCAAAATTCTTCTTTCTATTTGTGGCAGAGAAACATGAAGAGACATTTTCTATGAGTGGGAAAAAAAGCTCTCTTTTTTGGAGGGGTCTATAACGGTAGCAACCCTTTTTTCACATTTTTCAAGAGTTTTTTTTTTTTTTTATAAACGACAACAGCAGCATGCCTTGGCAATATGTCCACATTCTGTATTGGCCACAAAAAGTTAATTCCAGGCTAACAATGTCACTTCAGGGCATTGTAAGGAAGAAAAAGACAGCTACCACAAAATAAATAAGCTATTGTAAGTAAACAAACAAAGCTCCAAAAAATTTTTTTTGTTTGGAGTGGCTGCCTTTTTCTGAAGAAGTGAGAAAACTCTTAGCAATGTTATTGGAGAAAATGTATTCTGATAGCCCAACCTATATATGTATCCATGCATACACATCACATTTACCATATTACACTGTTTTTATGGTTAATCATTGTATTACTCGAGTCTTTATACTGATTGTGTCTTCTCTTTCATCAGATTATGGCATCATCAAATGAAGAACTTCATTCTGACAGTAGCTTTTTATCCCTGGCTGGGGCTGGAAATGAAAACAGCACCGTGCCAACTGATGGACCTTCAGACTCAAGATGTCCCATCTGCTTAGAAAAAATACGGAATGTGGCCTTCTTAAATCCTTGTTTCCATAGATTTTGTTTTGCCTGTATCCTAGAGTGGTCAGACAGGAAGGCAGAGTGCCCACTCTGCAAGCAACGTTTCCATTCTTTCTTTCATACCATAAGATCTGACACAGACTTTGAGGAATACATTGTTCCTTTTGAAAATGCATCCTATAGCATGTGTGGGGAGAGGTCAGCAACTAATCAAAGATCTGAAACACTGCCAGAGAATGGGATCTTATATGGAGAATATTCAGGTCCCCACTCACAAGATAGGATAAGAACACTTGATGAGCTGATGAGACAACTTGGAATAAGAAGGTCAACTCATCCTGGAGGAATATCCCTTGCACAAATTCGAGAGCAGGCTTCACTGCAGTTCAGAAGAGGTCTATATCAGTTAGGAATTTGTGTCAGGAATGTCCAAAGTGGAGGATTTTATAGAGATATATCAGCAGATTTTTTTCACAGGAATCCTGTCCGCCTTAACCGGTTAGTGCCTTGGTTGAAGCGTGAGCTGCGAGTACTGTGTGGAACACATTCATCATTAGTCAATAACATACAGCACATCATTCTGAATAACATAACTATTTATGATCTGGACAGTCAAGAATTTGCTGATGTGATTCAGCCTCACTTACTCCATTATACCAATCACTTCCTACATGAATTCATTAATTTTGCTCGCTCTCCTTTCAACATTAGGGCTTATGACTGGCGAGCCAGTTATGATGTTCCCTTCCCTATGCTTGATGATAGGTTTCAGTCCTATTCTTCTTTTACTACCTCTTCTTCAGAAGATGAGGAGGAAGAAGGAGAAACAGAAGACTCAAATGAGAATGATGGGGAAGTTGGAGAAACAATGTCAAGTGATGAGGAAGAAACTTGGGATGATGAAGTCCAGGAATCAACTAGTTCCGGTTTAGACGATATTTTGGATGATTTTTTTCTTCCTTTTGGATCTTCTGATGGGGAACTTGTAAGAAATGAGGACAACGTGGATGCATTTGTCCAAGCTGATGGACATTTAGGTACCCCCAATGGACACTGTCCATCAACATTGGGTACCCACAATGGACACTGTCCATCAAACAAATACGTTCTGAATCAATTAGAAGAGAGGGCTCCAATACTAAGCAAATCCATCCCAGGCTGTAAGGAGAGAACAGAGATCAATATAGCTGAAGTGCAGGGGGAGGATGATGAAGAAGAAGAAGAAGAAGAAGAGGAAGAAGAGGAAGAGGAAGAAGAGGAAGAAGAGAAAGAAGGAGAACTAGCACATAAGCAAGAGGCCTTAAAAAGTGTTGATTTTGTTAATTTTGTTGACCTTTCTAATGGTCCAGGGCCAGGTATACCTAAAGTTGGCCAGCTTGTTGGCAGTAACCATGCATCAAAGACTCTGCAACTTCCATCCCAAGAACAAGCAGAAAACGGCACGGAACAGACCTCATTGCAACAACAAGACTTAGTTAGTACTAAAGTGATCCATCACAAAGGGGAGGAAATTATTGTCATTGAGATGCTTCAACCCCAAAGAGAAGACATTTTGGTTATTGAACACATTGAACTAAAAACAAGAGAAAAGGATAACCCCGGTCAATTGCTTTGGCCAGAAGAAAAGGTTAAAACTGCAGAACTGCAGTTTTCTACTGAAATCCCTGCAAGTGGTTCTGCTACCGAGTGGGAACCTGGATGTTTTTCACGTATTAAAAGACCATTTCAACCTAATAGCCCACAAGAGAACTTTTGAACTAGTTCTCTTACTCAAGTTTACATGTTACGCTCAATCCAATAAATTCATATAAATGAAAAAAAATGTGCTTAATGTATAATGCCCCAAAACTGGTAGAATCTTAAGAAAAACACTGATAGTAATCCAAGGCCCATTGTATTGGTTACCTCAAAGGTTATAAAGAAAAATGTACAGGGAATGAAATTTAACATGTTCTTAAAAAAGGTTTTTTGAAGGATTTTTGAAGCCATAGTTATATGACAGTGTTTTTAAATTGAAAGTGGTGCTACTTATATACTTTGTACAGTGCTAGATCATTCTTTGACAGCAGAGAAACATTCCTGGAGATGCTTTATGATCCCTGTATAATTTTTATGAAATATCTGTATATATTTATATATTCATTAAAGATCACTTTCCCTATGTTTTGTGTGGGTTCATTGGAAACTGGACTGCACAGAAAGAGCAAGTCAAATGGTACAAATTAAACTATTCCGTTGTAGATTAAATTTGAATTAATACATTTCCTACTAAAGTTGGATTCTTTTCTAGATTCGTTATTCTTTTCTCACTTGCTAAATGGGACCCAAAGGGAAATTAATTAGTACATGGGGAGTAGTCATATAACTATTTAACCAATGCAATGTTATTTTTAAATTAAATCATTATTTTATGAAGAACCATTTTATCGGTGTGTTACCCCCCAAAAGTATGACACATTCTTGATCTAGAATCATGCACATTTAATTCACACTGATTTGTACAAATCCTTTGCACACCCTCTTACTATATGTTAAGACTAAGGCTTAAGGATGCTTGGTTAGAATCAGGTTGCATGGTTCCTTTCACCAGCCTAATTTAATCCTTGCCATTTACTAGACACATGCAAAAAACTTTATAGGTCTACTAATATGACTTCCACTGCAACTTGAAAAAAGAGAATATTGGATAGTTGGGGTTGTTGTTTTTTCAGTTATAGGGTGAGAGATTAAGGGCATGCCATTTTGCCCTGTATGCAAATAAATTTGTCATACAATGCTTGCCAACAAACATCCCAATTCATTAAAATTACATGGTCTATTCCTAGATCACTGTGGAAATGTACTGTTAGAAACTTACAAAATCCAAGTTCAAATAAGGGTAATTAAGCATAGTCTTCATAGCTGAAGCTGTAAATAATCCATTATGGGGACATTTGGAAATAAATTGTTTTCAAATGTGAGAATGTATAGAAACAGTTAACACATGGTGCAAGTGGAGACAGAGGTAGGTTCAAATTAAACTAAAGGAACATTTTGGATGTTTCAAACCTCTGTGTGTGTATGTGTATGTGTGTGTGTGTATGCCATAATTGGTGAGATTTTTTTTTCTAATGCCTGAGAGCATTGGATGGTCCTAATCAGATGAAGGAAGTATCTACTTGTTCTAGGACCTGCTGATCTTATCCCCCCAACAACATGGGTGGCAAAAGGAAGGATCAAATTTCTACAATGATGGCTAAAAATAGTAATAATAAAGAGATTTTTAGTAAACACAACTGAAGCTACCATATAACCAGAGTTTGCAGATACTTTATTTTTCTTAGCCAAGATTCATCCATGAGGGAATTAAAAATATATTGAAATGTCTGAGGCTGAATATACAGTATGCCTGCAAGAGAAAACAGTGATACCTAGCTATAGTTTCTAGCTATAGTTTCTGGGAAAGTGTATCATCACTTTTGCTTCTGATTGGTGCATAAAGGGAGGAGGGAGTGGCTAGCAATTATATAAACAGAGATACAGTATTGCTACTCATGAGGCATCAGCAAATGCTACCCATTGCTTTGGCTGTTTTGTTTGTGTTCGCTTCTTTTGAGAGAGAATTTTTCTTCAGGGGAAAAAGATCATTTAAATTGTTAAATGGCACAGTATTGATTCACACTGCAAATGCTGGTATAATAGCAAAGACTGATAATTTCATGCAGGAAAGTATGATTTCAGTAGCTTGTGATTTCCCACAACAAACATTAGGTGGTGAAACCTGTATGTACAGAGATTTCAGTGGTGAAAATGTTTGATTTTGACACTCTGGTTCAGACTCAATAATCTCTGGACAACTGGTTTAATGAGACTTTTGCATTTTTACTGTCAAAGAGGAGCAAAACTAATTGTAGGCTTTTCTGTTACTCATCGTTCTGTAAGCCGCCATCTTACACACAGACACACACACACACACACACATCAGAGGAGGTATTCAGCAGGTTCTGACCAGTTCTGGAGAATCGGTATCAGAAATTTTGAGTAGTTCAGAGAACTGGAAAATCCCATCTCTGACTGGAGATTTTACAGTATCCTTCCCCTGCCACGCCCATAGAACCGGTAGTAAAAAAATTGAATACCACCACCGATACATATATATAAAAATAATATGAATATGAATACGAATACGAATATATATATATATATATTCTTAAGTTTTCGCGGGTACTTACATGTATGGCATTCAGCTTTGTTCAGGTATTTTCCCACATCATTGTAGTTGTGCTTTTAAAGTTGTAGCAACGTTTCAGCAGAATCTCATCTGCCATCATCAGGCTTCTGTATAGTGTTCATCTGTGAGTCAGGCTTTTATAGTGGTTTCAGATTTAAATTTGGGGCAGCCTATTGCTGTGCCAGAATGTTTTTTTCTTCATCCTGATTGGTTGGGAGTCTTGGTCTGTGTTTATTGGTTTTGGAGTTTGCTGTGTTCTTCTTGATTGGTGTTTCTAATATTTTCTGTCTGTTTTTTTGTCTCTTTTTGTCTCTTAATTGGATGGCAACATTGTGTTACTTTATTGGAGGCCTTTAGTGCAGCTTGGCTCCGGGTAAATGGACTGCTATCATTAGTTAGGAAGCTAGGTTTCATCTGGGTGCCTGGTTGGGGTGTGTTTGAGCTGGAGGTATCGGGGGGATCTGTCTGTGCCCAGGTGTTTGCCTGGCTTGTGGTGTGGAGATCTTTTTGTTTATGAGTGCAGGCTTCCAAATGATTAACAGTCTGGTGGAATCATCTATTCATGCTTTCTGGCTTTTTTCAATCTCTATGGCTTCTCTGATGATTCTGTGGGTGGGGTTTTCTATAGTGGCTAGGGTTCTGGTGCCATTGAAGTTGATGCTATGACCTGTGGCTTCCATGTGTTGGACTAGTGAGGAAGTGTGTTCCAGCTTTTTGACTGCATTTTGTGTTCATCCAGGCGGGTACTTATTCTTCTATTGGTCTGTCCAATGTATGTGGCCGGGCATGATGCACAGGGGACTTCAAATATGCCTTGGTTTTCCAGGTCAATTTTATCTTTGGGGTTTCTAAATACCCGAACAAAGCTGAATGCCATATATATATATATATATATATATATATATATATATATATATATACATACATACATATATACATACATACAGACGCCTGATGATGGCAGATGAGATCCTGCCAAAATGTCGCTACAACTTTAAAAATACAACTATAATGACGTGGGAAAATACCTGAACAAAGCTGAATACCATATGTATAAATACCCACGAAAACTTAAGAAAACACACACACACACATATATATACCCTATTTTTTTATTTTAAAAATACGAATATGAAACAATATAGAAAAAGTTAGAAAACTGCAGTGTTGAAAACAATAAAAAGTGAAGAGGAGGAAGAAGAAAAAATAGTTAAAGAAGTGACTTCTACCTTTCTTTACAACACAGATATATTTGAGAGGATTTCCCCCCCTTCTAAATTAAATAACATGTTTCCCTTTTCCCCACACTTGACCTCTATTAATAATTCCAGAAATCACCAGCTAATGTTTTATCCATTTTCTGCAAAAAGTCCTTGAAGAGTTTTGAGTTAAATTACTCTCTCTTCTAAGGAGCTGTTTTTCAAAAAATAATATATTGTAATCCTAGTTTTAATTAACTTCAACCTCTTTGTGGTCAGGTTGTTTGAGGTCCAACTGAAAGTTAATTATGGATAGGACATCTGCTTAACAGAGTTCTAAGTATATATGCATGTGCAAGTGAGAAAACAAACTAATACATTGAGTCAATGGGTGTCAAAGAAGACAACGTTCAGAATACACACTCATTACCCTAAGAAAATAGAAGTTAAATTGTAAGTCAAGTATAAAAATATTTATAGATTGTTTCCATATATTAACATGCACCTATTGCTAAATTTCTATGAGCTTGATTAGAATCAATGAGAATGTTTTACAGTAAAGCAAGCAATGTTCTGAATAGCCAGTGGCTAATTCAGGCCATCTCTGGAAATAACCTGTATGCCTTTTTTAAAAAAGTAAAATTAGTCCATTTGGTTTAAAATTCAGAAACTTTATCCAAGTTTTAAGCTGACCACGAGTGCTTTGCACTAATGGGGGACTGTAGTAGTTGAACCCCCTTTTTACACTTCACCTGTCCATGTGTTCCATTCCATCTCTTACAGACTTGGCCACTTTGGAGAGTAAACTCTGAATCCTGTTTTATCTGTGACAGCAGTTGGGTGACTGAATGTGATGCAAAATCTGAAACCATAGAGAATGCAACATGGCATACAAGGGTATCACAGAAACAACAACGTTTAGTGTTATATGCATGCAAAATGCTCTTTTTAGAATTATTTTTCCAGAGTTCTCTATACACAGCCAAGAGGGGGAAAAACAGCAGAAGAAGAACCGAGAAAGAGTGAAGCAGAAATGAATGAGATCAGTATTATGTCTCTCATTTCAAGTTGTTATTATTTGCTTGTCTTATTTATACCCCACCTTTATTATTTTATAAATAACTCAAGGTGACGAACATATCCAACACATCTTCCTCCCCTTATTTTCTCACACTACAACAATCTTGTGAAGTGAGTTGGGCTCAGAGGGAGAGATAGTGACTGGTCCAAAGTCACCCAGATGACTTACATGCCTAAGGCAGAACTTGAACTCATGGCCTCCTGCTTTCTAACTTGATACCTTCATCACTAGACCAGTCTGATTTTCTCTTTGGTTAGCATGCTATG